GGTACTTGTATACTTTGGATTTCCCAGAGAGCCGAGTAATCAATCAGCCAGATCAAACCCTGGAAATTCTGATGAGTGAGCTCGACCCAGCAGTTATGGACCAGTTCTACATGAAAGATGGTGTTACTGCAAAGGATGTCACTCGTGAGAGTGGAATTCGTGACCTGATACCAGGTTCTGTCATTGATGCCACACTGTTCAATCCTTGTGGCTACTCGATGAATGGGATGAAATCGGATGGAACATATTGGACTATTCACATCACTCCAGAACCAGAATTCTCTTATGTTAGCTTTGAAACAAACTTAAGTCAGACCTCCTACGATGACCTGATCAGGAAGGTTGTGGAAGTCTTCAAGCCAGGAAAGTTTGTGACCACCTTGTTTGTTAATCAGAGTTCTAAATGTCGCACAGTGCTTTCTTCCCCCCAGAAGACTGAAGGTTTTAAACGTCTTGATTGCCAGAGTGCTATGTTCAACGATTACAATTTTGTTTTTACCAGTTTTGCTAAGAAGCAGCAACAACAGCAGAGTTGATTAAGAAAAATGAAGAAGAAAAAACGCAAAAAGAGAAGACACACAGGAGGTGGTGGCTGCTTTCTAGATGATGACACTGGGGGCTGTGCTCTCCATGACCACCACCTTGTAGTTGCAGAAAGCCCTAGGTCTATTGATAGTGTAATCATTTTGAAGTGTATGCATTATTATATCAAGGAGTTAGGTATCTTGCATGAATGCTCTCCTCTGTGTTTAGGTGTTCTATGCCACTCTTGCTGTGGAATTGAAGTGCATGTAGAAAAGAACTTTGACTGTATGAATCCTTACGACACTTGTGAAAATAATTCAATTTGGTTTATGCACAGTGTAATATTTCTGCAGGCATCGTCCAAAATCCCCCACAGACAAGGCTTTCGTCCTCATTAGATGCTGGCCTCAGCTGACCATCTGCGACTGTTCTATTAAATTGCTGCCAGAGTTTTTACATCCAGTTACCTCCACTTTCTAGAGCATATTCTCTACTAATGTTATTCAAGACCAATTTTTACTTCATACAGGTGTTTTATGCAATGGCAATTAAAGTTTTTCTTCCACAAGTTGAGTCCTTGTAAGAAAATGCTGATTCGGGTTACTGTTTTGTGTTCTACTGTTTGAATAGTTGTTCCTGCTTTTATAGTCCTGTGATTGATTTCTTAGACTCTCACCACGGTGTCTTTTCCTCTTCCCTCAATCACTGCTCCCCCATTAAAGCAATACACGGTTACACAGGGCTTATATAGTAATCTTATACCCAGGTGGGATGTTTGAGGTGGTCCCTGGCTTGATTTTTTTTTTTAAGACATAAGAATGGGGCCTCCTTATTGGCATGAACTGTGGAAGATAAATGACAAAACTGAATGTATTAAATGAAAAGAATTCGGTCTCCAGGGGTGATTAGCAGAGAGAACCCATTTAAAAAAAAAAAACAACTCACTGGAACTAGTCAGCTGTGCGGTGCACTTTTGGCTTTAACGGAGTACCTGCCATGCCTTTACTAACTTATTAAGTAGTGACCAGAGGAAGTCCACTAAGTCGAAGCAGATATTTAATCCTAGATATTCTGACCTCGGTACGTGCAGTCAACTTTTAACCTATTGGCCACCAATTTCTACTAAAAGAAAATTTGATTCAAAGGAGAATCTGTGGCATTTCTATCTGTGACTTAGAAGCTGTGTGTGTGTGTGTGTGTGTGTGTGTGTGTGATGCATGTGAGTTCTGACTTCACCTGTTCTGTGTGGTCTTCTTTTACCATGGTGTTCACATGATCCAGTGAACAACTATCCAGGTTACTCAGCCAGGTAGTAAATGTATGAACACACAAAACAACACAATCGTCTGAAATGTTTAATGGGACTAGAAATAATAGGCTTTCAAGAGTTGGCATGTTAGTGGCATTTGCAGATATTGTGGGATTTCAACAGCTGGGAGAGGAGCAAAATGGACTTAATTTCCTATTTATTGCCTTCGTACTGTTTTCTTGGTAGTTTCTGGACTGATGCAGTGATGTTCTGTTCCTTCCGTATTTATAACGAAACACTTTTTTAGCGTTTCTAAACATAGAATCTACTTGGTTTGAAATCAAGTGGTTGGAACACTGTCTGGATTTGTACCTTAAGCATGCTGTTGATTGAATGCTTCATTGGGGAAGCCTCCAATCAGCTTTATCAGTCTGGTTGTGTGATGAGCACAGCACCTAATGTTTTGAACTGCTATTTGGAGGACCAGTGCTTATTTAAGCTGGATTTTGTAACCCACTAGATTTTGTTGGTTTGAGGTCTCATTCCCTGATCTTACAGAATTACAAATTCTAATGTTGAAATTTGCAGAGGTTCTCGTGGAAAAGCCTAGAAGACCAACAGTAGATTGAACAGTGATCCTTGCAGGAGGGGAAGTATGGGTGCCATGATTTCTTTTCATTGGTGTTGGGCTTTGAATCAGTTGAAATGTATTTCTGTACCACAATGTAAGCTTCAATAAAAGTTTGCTTAATTGTCTAGTAACATTTAAAAAAAAAAAAAAAAAAAGGGAAATACTCAGATCTCCCTGGGAAGGGGAAACAGAATAGATTTTGTGGGTGGACTGGGGGCAGGTGGAGTTGGGAACAGGAGGGGTCAGGTGAGGTGAGGAATACTGGGAGAAATGACTGGAATTGGGGGCATTTCAGGGGCGAGATGGAAACCTAGTGCAAGGAAAACTCCATGAAACCTACAAGAGTAACCCTAGCAAAGATTCCTCCTAATAATGGGGACACGGGGCCTGACCAGCCATCTTCTGTATCCAGGCAAGGCCTCAAGTGGAAGGATTGGGACCCCAACCCAGCCACAAAACCTTCAACCTACAGCTTGTCCTACTGCAGAGTGTTCTGGGACCAGAGCCCAGCAGAATCCTCATCAGAGACCAGAGAGGCTTCACCCACCAACTGATGGGAGCAGATGCAGAGTCCCACAGCCAAACACTAGGCAGAGCTAATCCTGCAGAGGAGGGGAAGGAAGGATCGGAGGAACCAGAGAGGTCAGGGACACTAAGAGAACACATACCACAGAATCAAATGACCAGGGCTCATGGGGGCTCACAGAGATCAGGGAGCCTGTAGGGGTCTGACCCAGGTCCTCTGTATATATGGTGTAGCTTGGTGTTCTTGTGGGATTCCTACAATGGGAGTGGAGTCAGTCCCTGACTCTTTTGCCTACTTATGGGACCCTTTTCCTCCTAATGGGTTGCCTCATTCAGCCTTGATGTGATGTATGTGCCTGGTCTTCTTATGCTATGTTTGATTGATGCCCCTGGGAGACCTGCTCTTTTCTGAGAGGAGATGGAAGGAGAGGGAGTGGATCTGGGAAAGAGGAGAGGTGGAGAAGAGAGACTGGGGGTGGGGAGGGAGGGGAAATTGCAGTTGAGATGTTATATATGAGAGAAGAATTTTTAAAAGGGTAACTGAGCAAGCCAGGAGGGTGAGGCAATAAGCCACATTCCTCCATGGCCTCTGCTTCAAACTCCTGCCTTTAATTCTTACCTTGGTGTCCTCCAGTAGTGGACTATGACCTGGAAATGTAAGACCAATAAATCCTTCTTTCTCTCAAGTTGCTTTTGTTCATGGTGTTAATCACAGCAACAGGCCGGGCGGTGGTGGTGCAAGCCTTTAATCCCAGCACTCAGGAGGCAGAGGCAGAGGCAGGCAGATCTCTGTGAGTTCGAGGCCAGCCTGGGCTGTAGAGTGAGTTCCAGGAAAGGCTCCAAAGCTACACAGAGAAACCCTGTCTCAAAAAAAGTCACAGCAACAGAAACCAAACAAATACAGAAATGCACAAGATTCAGTAGTTTTCAATTATTTAAAAGAACGCCCATTGTCAGATATCCCACCTACCCCAGTAACTTGGCCGAGGTGACGCAGGTTCTTTTATTCAACTCTTATTTACTAATATTAACTATTACAGCACCAGTCAGCATAGGATGCAAAACACGTAAATATCTCTATATGCATATATGGGGTTTACAGGATGAGTTTCAGTTAAAGAGGCTGTAGCAGAGCTTGAAACGTTTCAGAAGTGGACTGAAAGGCTGTATTGATAAGATAATAAATGAAACCAGTGCTAGGAGGGGCTGCTATGGGTCTGGGAATAGGAAATCGCAAGTTCAGGTCCAGGTCCAGGCAGGCAAACAGTGGACTTCTGGGTAGTCAAGCATGCCACATCAACAGCTGGGGCCAGAGCGAGCTGAAGTTCCAAGGGGAGTCAAGAGTTTCCCGTCTGTCTGTCTGTCCCTGACACACAATGGGTATCAGCTTGGTGGGGTTATGCCATCCTCCTGTTAGGTGTCCATCTTTGTGTGGGGTCCAGTCAAGGGAATTACACTCCTTTTCTGCCTGGCATGTCTGTAAGTTCTTGGGCCTGGTTTTCTTGATATGATTCTGATCTTCTCCCCCATGTCCCTACAGTCTTAACTCATCCCAATACACCCTGATAGAAAGGTGACTCCTTTATCAGTCACGTATCAGTCCATGATACACGTACAGGTAGTGCCTTGCAGATGGTGCAGTCTGTGGTCCACCCAGGGGCTGCATTCATCATCGTCCCTCAAAATGGAGTCCAAGCTGCTTGTGAACTGCAGTCTCCCAGGGCAGCCTAAAAAAAACACTCTTTTGTACAATCTGGACTCAGAGTAGGTCACAGCCTGATCTCAGGAGGTCCCCTAACTATACAAGCAATTTAGGCTCGACATTTAAAAACTTTGGAAGTAAAGGCTGGAGTGTGGCCCTTCCCTACACCTGGGAAGTCTGGGCTTTGAGGAATGCTAGAGGACAGACAATCAGAGACAGGACAGGGGCAGCAGGGCAGGTAGGCAGAGGTCTCTAGGACAGGAAAAGAGACTGTGTTGGCTGATGAAGCACAGGAAGGCAGAACGGAGATTTGGCCAAAGCTGCCATCCTTGCAGCATTCAGATACGTTACTTCACCTCCTTTGAAAGAGTTCCCCTGTTCTGGTATCAGGCACATTCAGTATCAGTCTCGCTGTGTACTGCCATGGATACTTAAACAGACTCACATTTCACTATGAAGAGCCTGGACAGACACGTGGCTTACACCTGGCCTTCTCACCACTGGAGAAAAGGCATCAGAATTCCTGAGTGTTCTCCAGGCCTGGGCAGCATCTGGCAGCCACATGGCAACATGAGAAGGAGGTAGTTTGTTAGTAACATTAAAGCCCCACATTCGGCTACATGGAGACATTGCAACTCAGAGCACTTGCCAAGCCAGCCCACCATGAGGGAACTCTGCACCCAACCATGACCTAGCCTATGAGAGGACACAGAGGTGTGCCATGGAATGTCATGCCTCACCTGGACCATGGTTCTGCCATGAACTAGCTCAGGCATAGTATCTGGGGCTGGTGCCTGGCAGACAGGATGGATCAGATGCCTGCTCAGTCTGGGTCCTTTGCCCAAGCTCATGTCTTCTGAACCCAGAGGCATTCTGGACCAAAAACAGAAATCCAACCTCTGCAGGGCCAGCCCAGAAACCAGCCTGGCTGCCAGCCCATCAGAGAGCAGTTCTTCCTGGCCTGTGTAGGCACACAATGTCGTCAAATGTGTCAACCAGGCCTAGAAATTGGAACCCACTAGATTCTAACTTGCTATGGAGGGTAGATTCTACATACCCTGGGCCTGCCTCAGTGGACCGCCTTCAGAAACTTCTGGCCAAGCCTCTAAGACTGTCAGGCAGGCTGAGCTCCCCGAAGGCAGGCTTTCAAGCACCATTTTACCGCCAACATGCTAATTCTGCAGCCAACTCTCTGACTTTGAGCTTGTCTTACTCTTCAGGACACTTACTCTGCCAGGAGCATTCACCTGACCTGACCTGCTTCTGGGCCAAGGACCTGAGATTTCCTTCCCAGGGAGGCTGGAGGCTGGAACTTTGAACTAGCTCTGCAGAGCCTTCTGCCACAGACTGGAAGTTAGCACAGCAGAAAACCAATTCTGAATTCAGGCACAGAAAGACCATAAAACACACAGAACACGGTGTAGTTTGAAGACCGCATCAGTCAACATCATTTGATTAGCCAGCTTCAAGCTGGTCCTACTGAGTTCTGGGCTCCATGACCTGAGTGGCTATGACTCACACTGCAGAGAACTACTTGAGGCAGGAGACCTGCTTCTTCCGGGCTAGTTTCTTCTCTGTGATCCTGAACCAACCACCTCAAGGAAGTTTCTCATTTTTCTGGGTGATTCCAGCTTTGAAGGCCTCCAAACTCTGACATTCATGGGCCATCCCGATTAGGGTGGCTTTGTATGCACACAGGTGTCCCTATGAGTCAGCATCTGCTGCCATGTCCCTGGAGGGTCAGGAAAGCCTTGGCAAAGTCATGTCTACCGGCCAGATCCACACTCAGGGCAAAGCAGCAGTGACCACACAGAGTGAGGCTGATCCCGTTCCATACTGGCAGTATGGCACTGGGATGTAATTTCCATGAGTCTTGGTGTTTCCTTGTTTGGAAAATGGGCACTTCCAGGCCTGGTTCAGGAATGATATCAAGGACTGGCAAGATAGCTAAGTGGTTGGATACTTGCTGCCAAGTCTGATGCCCTGAGTTCAAGCCCCAAGAACCACATGGTAGAAAGAAAGAGAGAACCAACTCCCAAAGTTGTCCTCTGCCCTCCACATGGATATTGTGGTACACACATGCCCATAAACATGCATACACAAATACACAAATGTGACAAAAATATTTTTAAAAGATGGGCTGGGTGGGATCACACACACCTTTAATCTCAGCATTTGGAAGGCAGACTCAAGCAGATCTCTTGACATGAAAGCAGCCTGGAGCCACCTGACCTGTGTGCTGCCTTTGATTCCACAGGTGGTGAGAGGGCAGAAAAAAGGTTGGATGGAGCAGCTTGGTGAAGTTACTTGTGGGAAACCCTGACTTTCAACGCCCAGGTGTGGTGGTAATCTAATTGTACTGAAATATTATTTTGATTGTATGTTAATAAATAAAGTTGTCCGGGGGTCAGAGCTATTAGAGCCATAGCAAGAGTGTGGCGGTGGTGGCACACGCCTTTAATCCCATAGATGTCTGCGTGTTCAGGGATATAGCCAGCATTGGAGACATATGCCTTTAAGACCTAGGGGGCTGTACATTCAGACAGTGACGAGGCAGTCATGTGTTTGGGTTTACAACCAATGAGAAGGCAGAACAACATACTATAAAAAAAATGAACAGACAGGAAGTAGGTCTCTTTTTCACGAAGCTGGGACAGCAGGAGGAAGGGTGAGATTTTAGCTCTGAGCTCTGACCTCTCGGCTTTCTCTTTTACATTGTTTCTGTGTTTCTTATTTAATAAGATGGTTGGTTACATCTACACCCAGGTGTCAGCTTTGGTTAACTGAAGAAGGATTAATAATGTTCTTCTTCCTGCAACTCCATCATCACTAGTGGAAGCCTCATCCATCATAGAGGGAGCTACTGTGAGGGACCAGGGAGAAAGGGAGCTGACGCTTTCATGA